AACAAATGGGTCAAGTACACGAAATAACGGAACATATTTTTACTTGTACATCCAAAGTATATGCTAAAAACGGGCAGTCCACAGTGGAGCACAGCCCACCCTTAGCTGCATACAATTCACGCTGATCATCCACTAAGATTAATCCCTGCTCCCAGCATCCTCGATAATCCAGGCATTCATATCCCCATGATCTTCTGTAAATACCCTGAACCCATTCGCTACATTAGCTTCGTTTTGAGCGTTGTTCGTATGACACGACGCTATAAATAGCTGTCCAATCACATTACTCTCACGAGCAGAGGGCGCAAGAGTGATTATTGCTTAATGCCGCATCGGCAATCTTGAAGCTCTTCGCGGCCATCACAGATAGGCGCGATGGACGCGGTGATTTGAACTAACATCTAGTCTCTGAAATAGGAAGATGTTTAATCATAGTTATAAAAAATATAATAAAAAGGAGCCAAGAAATTTTCTCCATATTCAGATACTGCAGTAATCTAGACTTTCCAAATATTATAGACGTGCATGGGCTGTATTTGATATATTTGTTTCAGGGTCTGTATGACATACTAGTGGTGACCTAACGCCGGAAACAACCTTCTATGCCGTCTATAGTAGCAGGTCAATGGTATCCATGCGGGAACGCTAAAAACGAGCAATGGCAGACACAGAACTGTACTCAGAGTTTAGGTTGTCCTTGGTGCCGTCATCCACTTTGAAGAAGCCCGGTACAGAGAGGCAGTCAAATTAATAATTATCCGTATTTTGTACACGAATGGCGACATTGTATTCAGCTAATACAGAATTATGAAAATGCAAGTCAGACCGCGCCCTCCTCCAAATGTAAACATTAGAAGAGCAGAGCTAGTGGATGTTAAAGGAATTTGTTCTGCATATCGACAATCCTGTAAAGCTAACCCCTGAAACACACAAAACATTACATATATACAGTTAACGCGACCTGACAATTTACTATTTGTATTTCACCCTCGGCTATGTAGCCAATACACCGGATAGTCGAGGGTGTCCAATCTCTGAATAGTGATCGAATTTGTTAGAGTTGTTCTACATTTTAGTTCAAGCTTAAGATACATCACCAGCTCAGTACTTACAGAGGACCAAATCAACTGGCAGGCCTAACGCAATAACAGTGCTAAGTTGTATTCTAACGCCCTAAAAAATAAAATTGTTTTCAGTGCAATAATAACGTCATTAAAGATGGCGTTTCTGGTGCTCTGCAAAAAGACATACAAATAATCAAAACCATTTGTTAAAAAACAAACATATATCGAATGTTGAAGCGTTTATATCTATCACCAGAATAAATATTTGCTCCCCGAGTTATGAATCAAGTCACATGTGGTCTGACGTCGGAGGTAAACACCAGTAACTCGATATTGTTGTTTTCCCAAGCGACAACCAATCATCAATACATGGGGAAATTGATAATTATAAACACAAGTGCGCAAATGACGATATCGCTGAAGGTTTGCGTATCATCTACACGAGCAATTATGCCCCGCTCCCCCCGGGGATTAACGCGCGCATCGAAACCCCAATTAGCACGTGCATTCTTGCGGGACACCATCATCACACTCATCCCACGTAGGCTGTGGCTGCTGTGAAGGATGTTGATGCCCATTAAGGCTTCGTGGGAAGCGATGCACACTAAGGGGAGATAATGCAGACTAAGGGGAGATAATGCAGACTAAGGGGAGACAATGCAGACTAAGGGGAGATAATGCAGACTAAGGGAGACAATGCAGAGTAAGGGTGACAATGTAGACTAATGGTAGCAATGCAGACTAAGGGGAGATAATGCAGGTTTAGTTCCTGGTGTATGTTTTGATGTTATATGTCCATTCAACACCGCTCGCCCATTTCATAAACAGAGTGATATCTGTTGAATAATGCTGACTGTAGGTTATGCTAACAATCTTCCGTCACCTGCCAATGGATCTCCTTTCTCTCTCTCTCTCACACACACACAAACACACATACAAGCTAACAACAAACAATTCATCACAGCCAAACCAAGCCAACATGTAAAGGTGATGCGGAGGTATCTCGATGCAGGGGAGGTAATCTATGTCCCGAATCCCCGAAGGTCAGGTGGCTATCTAACGGCCATAACTCCATAAAAGAGTCAGTTTGTATCCATTATTTAGACCGAAACACGGCACTAATATCCCTCTGTGGCGCAAAGCCAAGGCACAAGATCAATCAAGTCAACTTATCTAACGTCTCCATCGGGTTATTTCTTATCTCAAAGTCGAGATCAATTTTGACTGCACATTTATGTCGCTCCGTCTACCTGGTTGTCTCGTCGGAACATGTAAATAAATCTGAAAGTAACACAGGGTTACCTTTTATTTCCATTCATGATCTCACAACCGATCCCAATATACTGCCGACCCAAAATATATGACCCCTTCCTTTGCCTCCTCGCTATGACTGGTTCCACTGTTCGCGCAGCATGCTTAGCGCTTTTACCCGTTTAGGTAGACAGGAGCCCAGTCAATTCTCGCGATACCTATCGGGAACACATACGACCTCGGACGATGTGCTAATTAAAACTAAACCTGTATACCACACGTTAAGGTATGTTTCTCTGAATAATAATAAAAGCTACAAAAACCTTCCCATATTCATAAGAAGACTCAGCCTAAAGAGTCCACTGAACGAGTCCGACTATATCATAAGCATGAGTTTACAACTCGCTATCAAATAGTGATGATACCAGGTGTTCGCGGAGAGGTGGGCGTATTTTCTGTCCTACCGATGGCATCTATTACAAACACATGAAAAGGCGAGTCAATTTTTCACCTGTAAAACACGGGAACATATGGCTCAAGTCAAAACAGGGAATTGCATCGGATATCATTTTTGTTAGTGATGGGTCTAATTGGAAATGTGTCTACCACAAAACGTTTTGAAAGCTTTACTGAGAATTTGAATGTTGTAACCTTGATCAAACAACTTCTGAGCAAGAGACGTATGACGCTCTTTGAAATCTTTGTAGAAAGAGCACACTCGTTTGTACCTCAAAAGTTATGAAATGTAGACACCAAAGGCTGGAGCTGCAGGAAAATTGCTCGACATAAAGGCAAAGTCATATTAAAAAAAATGCTACCGTCAAAAGTACAAATCATTGAGTTTAACAGCCTCCCAGTCCCATGTTTCAACCAGCGTGAAATAACACAACGAGAAGTAGCCACGATGTAACTTCTCGGGCCCATCTCGCAGGATGGTCGGTGCCCCTAAGCACAAAGCGATCTTAGCACTAAGATGATCATATTAAACTCTCATACTTTAACATAGACATAGACAGTCGTGGCGCTAAGGTGGATTGCTGAACGGGGCCCGATAGCAGCACTTCGCTTGTCTCGAACTACGAATAACACGATACATAACCGATGATCCCGGAACTTCGGCTAAAGGAGTCTCCATTATACTAATGACTTGCAAATCTTCCATACTCTGCCATCTCCAATCTTTGTTGAGAAATATCTCGGCATGATAATTGTTTGCCTGATAAATTAAGTAACTGTCATTATTAAGACATATCGCCAAGTTTTAGAGATACATTCTCATTTAATGTTTAGACCGTTACAAAGTCGTAAAACACATGAAAATATACATGATGCAGAGATGATGATATTCCGAGTATATGATCTCCCACCTTTAATAAGGCACTGAATATGCTTTGGTAATTATTTAATTAGACCATGATATGGTACACCAAACAAATTTCACTCAAGTGTATGCGTGGCAAAATACCTAAACAATAGGAAAAGGTTCGTCTTGCTTCACATGATGCCATCGCACGTTCTGGTAAAGAATTATCTGACAGCACGTGTTATTAATTATTCACTACACAATTGACTACAGGCATTGGTTCGAGCAACTGTTTGTTTTTTGGCTTTTTGTTTTGTTTGGCGTTGAAACGAACCATGCTTGCCCTTTAGCTTAAGGTAACATGCGAGCTGTATTTAAATCAATCGATTACCTCTATATTGTATTGTATAACGTATTATATTCCCGGTTAAGTTTAAAGGTGAAGGCGATGAGGGATAAAGCGGATCAGTGGGCTGTTTAAGGTGTAACATTATTCAATTAGACATGTGAGTAAGGGTATATGACGCATTGCTAAAAACAACCTGAAGCTGCGTGGGATGTCAAACAGGCGCATACGTGTGAGTTCAGTGTGCGGAACTGAAACCTGACCTTTAGTGGGCGAGTGGGGTTTACGCCGCTTTGAGCAATATTCCAGCAATATCACAGTAGCAACGGAGTTCTCATTCCATCCTCTGCATAATTCCCATACTACATTAATATTCTCGTGTTTTCAGTGTCTTTGGTAGTTATAACATCGCTGTCGTGTACAGAAAGGGAATTCAATAGTGACGTATTTAGGTCACGTGATATTTTAGGTCTTCCAGCCCTTGAGTGTCGGTCGCTGGCTTCCTTTTGCTCTCTAAAGCCATGCCACAGTTTCATGTTTCGCCACGTTTCGTTCGTTAGAGTGATTGAGTATGGTTATACGCCTGCTTTTAGCAATATTCCAGGGGTAGCCTTGTGGTTAAAGCGTTCGCTCGTCACGCCGAAGACCCGGGTTCGATTCCCCACATAGGTACAATGTGTGAAGCCCATTTCTGGTGTACATCGCCGTGATACTGCTGGAATAGCGCTCAAAGAGGCGTAAAACCATACTCACTCACTCACTCCCAGGAACCTGGTCGTAAGAGGCGACTAAATGGATCGGGTGGTGTAGCTCGGTGACTTGATTGACGGCGTGTCATCGTACCCCACGGCGTGGATCGTTGCGGACAATATCAATCACTGGGTTGTCTGGTTCAGACTCAATTACATAAAGGCCGCCGTCATACGGCTGGAATAATCCCGGTTGTGGCGTTAGGCAAATAACACAAATAGTCATACTGATAACTCACTCACTCACTGAATATGGATGGGGGTGCATAAAAGAAAGTTTTGCTTACCGTCTTCACTGAGAGCCAGCCCACGAGGCAATAGGTATCCAATATGACGTCAGTGTGGTCGTCCCCTGCAACAGATGACATACAGATTAAACATCTGATATTTGACTAATCATTTTGAGAAACGTGTAAATCGATATACCCATAAACATCACCATTTTCGTTTATATACTGTCGGGGGAAAAACAAAAAAACAAACATCCATGTTTGATGGTGGCAAAAAATGAAACAAACGAGAAATGGTTCGATTGTGATGTATTTGATACGGGTTTCATATGTATTATTTGGGCCTTAGTTTGCAGTGTTTCGGGACCAGCAATCTCATTAAAATCAGACCTTAGTTCTCGCTACCGCTAAACAAAGATCCGAGGACATCCCAGTAGGGGTCACGTCAGAACGACCTTTCATCCGACCAATCAAAGCGTCGCTCACCAGATCATGAAAGTGACAGTCGGAATGTGCTTTCTAATCATGCATCCTCGAAAACTTTAACACGAGTATTCCGAACGATAGTTACGGGTTTAACGACTGAATCCATACAATCTAGACCATCTATTAGCCATTCCAGAATGTTTTTTTGTTCAGGTTTCAAATCTTTAATCGAGAATTTGTCAAAATATGTTTCGAAACGTAGTGGCCAGTTTGAAATTAGTGCCGTAAAGCACGGGAAAGCTGCCTTCTGATTGGTCATTCCATTGGTCGATCAAAGTTCGAGCAAGGTCGGCCTGACGTGACCCGTAATGGGATGTCCTCACATCTTTGTTTAGCGGTAGCGAGGACTAAGATCTGATTTTAATGAGATTGGGAGACCAGTAACATTTTGATAACGTCTGTATTTTTTTGGTCACATCCGATTTTCAAGTGTATACTTTCTTTTACCCGGCAGTATAGTAACAGTAAATGTATGTTATTTAAATTAAAGGTGCATGAAGTCTTTCACAAACCAAGCGACATATTTTTGTACGTCTTGTAACAAAATACAAATTATTTGGACATATTGAACGACAGAATTCCATTGCTAACGTTTTGGTTCCATCATTAGACGCTGATTCCTAGCTCCCATTAAAAAAATGTCTCGGAAATTCTTCAAATTTCGAAACACTGTGTAGTTTGAAATATAAGATGCATTAACACAACATAAAGGTTGTATTAACTTAACCCTGTCTAAGAGATCAGAGTAGCAAGAAATAACATAAAACACTCTGATACACTTGGATAATATTTTTTCAACACAAAAATTCTACCTGCCAACAGAGAAGAACAAGCAAAGCTGTAATTCTGGACACCTTGAAAACAACTTGCAAACACAAATGAAACATCTTCAAACTTTGAGAAAAACGCGAAAACTTTCAAAACAAAGGCAAACAGTACACGTGGGAATATAAGGAACGTGTCAGAAACCCGATCTCCGCTGTTTCAAGTCTTTATATGTTTCCAATAGTGAACGTCTATTTGCGACGTTGGGCTTTAGAGCACATGGTATCGTAACAAGGCCCGGATTTAACCTCGTTCTGACGAGAAATCTGTCCGAGCGGAACCGAGTTATTCATTCGGTCAACATCGGAAGATGGGGTGGACCATACGGTGTGATCGGAAAGACAACGTCCGGTTCTGCTGTGGTGAATCACAACACACTGTCCATCACTTTCTGTCTGGTCAAACAAGAAGCTTTCATGCACCTGGCTCTCGTTTGTTGTTAAAAAGGGATGTTTGTTTCACGCTGCCTCTTGGAAACATAAATTATCCCTTTGAATGCAACATGGGCAGATATCCACATTGAAAATACTGAGAAAATCTAAGTCTGGTTTTAGAGTTTATCGAGAAGATGTTTCTATGATAACGGAGCTTATTTTCTTTTCCGTGATTATTTCGTTGTTTGTGTCACCCGGAAGTAAACGTATAAATACACATAGAACAATGCGTTTTCCTGACGCGGTCCAAAAGTTATAATCGTCAATGTCTTTGCAAGTGCTGGATGAATCCAAGTATACCGCAAAACAATTTGTGTTTTGTCATCTTCCTTTTTGATAAGTTATAAAAAGTGAGTGCGTACAAGACTTGTATGGACTCCCTGGTTATACAATGTTAATAGATCTAAAAGACTCATACAATTTGCTGATGCAAAATGTTTTGTTTGTTTGTTGTTTAACGCCGCATCCAGCAATATTCAAGCTGTATGACGGCGGTCTGTAAATAATCGAGTCTGGACCAGACAATCCAGTGATTGACATCATGAACATCGATCGACGAAATTGGGATACGATGACTTATATCAACCAAGTCAGCGAGCCTGACCACCCGATTCCGTTACGTTAGTCTCCTCTTATGACAAGCATTGTCGCCTATTACGACAAGCACAAATGGATTAGCTTGGGGAAGGGAGGGGCGTGCAGAGAAATTAGAGTCATTTGAGTTGGCTAGACCCGGGTGTCTGGGTGTAATGTGTGAAATCAGTTTCTGGTGTCCTCCGCCGGAATATGGCTTGCGTTTTGCATAATAGGCGTTAAACAAAATTCTCTCACTCCCGCGAAAACTGGAGACGAGTAGGGAAGTGACACATATAAGAACAAGCACTAACAAGTCATATTTAAGTTAGTGATGACACCAGGTGCTCACAAACGGACAAGCTTGTGCCATTCTACCAGCAACACCCCTCAGTGGTTTTCAGGTAATCAAGATCCCGAAAAAAAATGTAATAAAAAAAAATGTCACGCCTGGTTGCGCCACACACGAAAAGATCAACTTTGTCAGGTCAAGAGAGGACAAATATCTTCGAAATATTCACAGTGCAAGAACGTGGTTATATCGCTTTCATTTTAAACAAATGTGTTATTTCACGCCCTTTTGTTTAGACTTTGAAGGTTCCAAGATAACACAACATCACCAAAACAGCGATAAAACAACGAGGTTAATTAAATTCGAAGGATTTCTGTAGAAACTGCCTCATGCAAACTTGATAAGATAATGGAAACTGTTACTGTAGTCTAACTAAGTCTCCAAACAACGCCAGAACTAACACATTCCGCACTCAACAAACGCTGGTACACGAAGCTGGCGTTATACACAGACATCTCCCGAACCGCGACCTTACACCAAAATCTGTCTGTGGCAGATTAATTAGTTTATATTCCAGTGTGATCGTCGACAAAATTGATCGCCAGGCTTCTCCGACGTGCCAGAGGTACACCGGAAGTAGCGCCGAGCATGATTGATTTATGCGCATGCTCAGGTGTACACCGTTTTGAACTTCGAAGAATAACACACGAAGGGATTATTTTATACACATTCTACTTGCATATGGCGCTGGGGGACGAACCGTTGACCTCGAAACGTTCACCTCAGTATTTTTTGACGGCACATGTTGAACTGATGAATAGCATTCATTGTCAGGTGTGAGTTTGAATGTTAATAGGGAAATATACATGCGTGAGTGAGTGAGTGAGTGAGTGAGTGAGTGAGTGAGTGAGTGAGTGAGAACAGTTTCGATCGAATCGGTCCGCATATGATCGATTTAAGATCAAACAAACCAGTGGTTGATAGTGTGAACAACAGTCGGCTACGATGACAACACAGTTTGCAAGGTTACACATTGCAAACCCGCCTCCGTGGTCCAGTGGAAATAGCGTCTGCCTGGGCCCACTTGCACAAAGCGATCTTAGCGCGAAGACTATTGTAAGCCTATACTAAAGTATGGGAGTTACGATCATCTTAGCGTTAAGATCGCTTTGTGCAAGTGGGCCCTGGAGAGCGGAAGGTGATGGGTTCGATCCCCGTCCGCGTCATTAAAAAAAATGTTAAAAGATGGTACTTGTTGTTACCCTGACTGGCGCTCGGAATTTAGGGGATAGACAAGGACTGGTCGGCTCGGAGTCAGTGCACTATATCTATCTGGGGTATCAATGTTGTACTGTGGCATGGTATCTCGGTGGGCCAGCACTTTAAATCGGCATCAGTAGTACAAGCAGCAACACACACACGCACGCACGCACGCACGCACGCACGCACGCACGCACACACACACACACATGCACGTCGCTATATAACAGCAATAATCTTGGACGCGACGCTAAACCCCATTTCACCTCACCTCACCTCACAAGTGGAACTCTTTGCGTCTGTCTCCCGGCAATACTGCTTCCATTGTGGTAATGCGACTAATCTTATATATACCGAAACTGAGCGACCGGGAGCTGAAGCTAATTATTAAAATCCCACTCGGCACGTAAGTGTTTTATTTCCTGGAGTGGACATCAGCATATGTATCCGAAGTACGTGTTTGCATTGATTGTCTCAGTGCAATTGGAAGTGATAACTGATTTGATTTATCTGACACGGTGACGTTTAAACCCCGGTTCAAACGACGGGTGGGTTTATAATGAAATCAGAAGTCAGCTTGTCAAAGTGTGAGCGCAGTGGCGTTGGAAGAGGTGTCGTTGACGGTGATGGTGCTGAGGGAAGATAAAGTGATGGTAGTGGTAGCTGGAACAACAGCAGCGGTAACACTTAATGTCTAGGGATAACGCTTCACCCTTCTTTGAAAGGCACTAGGGCAATTTTACTGTTACAAGTGTGAGTTTGAGTTTTTGAACAATATATCACGACGTGTTAGGTTGATGTGTAGGAAAGCCAGCGAAGCAAGTCTTTTCATGTGAACAATTGACTTGCCTTTGCATGTGTTTGTGACGGGTATCACCGGTGGGGCAGGATCCCCTTTTCGCGAACACCTGGTATCATCACTATTTGATAATGAATCATAAACATATGCTCGTGATATAGTCGGAATCATACAATCGGCTCTGCTGTAAGCAGAGATTTCTATTGGATATGGAAAGGGTTTTGTCGCTTTACTTATTTTGACTTTTACAACTTTGATGAAACCAACGAACAGGGGTATGGTGCTGACCAAGAAACTCAGTCAGGGCGATTCGGGGTTCGAACCTCCGATCACAGGTTTCTGACATCTACGGCGCCTTACACCACTGGGACACCCGTGTTCCCCTTTTGCAATAGTGTGGAAATAGTAGAAACATGAATTGCCATACTATTGCAAAAACGGCATTGCCATTGC